TGGCAGGTCCACCGCGGGGCCCCTCATGGGGCTCGGCAGTGGTGCTGCAAGGCCGGTGGCGGCGGCCGGGCCCGTTGGGGGCGGGGTGTGTGGCCTTATGACACACTTCCGGTGATGTCAGGGGGTGTGGCATATGCTAATGAGTTATGCTAATGAGTTCCCCTAGCTCTTTTTCTACGAAACGACCCCTGGGTTTAACAGTTGATCTGAGGGGACTGAAACTGACCAAAAGCAGCAGGGCAGGTTTTCCTTTCCTTCCCCAGCTCCCAGCAGGGGTGGGAAGGCTTCTGGTCAGTTTCACCCTGCTCCTTTCAGCTGCTGGAACAGCTGATCCAAGGGGAGTGAAACTGACCAGAAGCTGCAGGGTGGCTTTCCTTTCTTTCTCCAGCCTCAGGCCACTGCAGGGCTAAGTGCTCTGGGGGTTGGGGGTATCTGGCATCATCAGGTGGCGGGGCAGGGCTCGCGGGCGGTGGGGCTCCAACTCCAAATGCCCCACTGTGGCCACGGGCCCGTCCCTGTTCCAACACAAACTGTGAGCAAATGGGGAACACAAACGCAGTGAAGCCGCCTTATACGGAATCAGACCCTTAGTTCATCAAGGTTAGATCAGGGGTCATTTCCTGCAGGAGCGCACAGGAGCAGAGCTCCGGCAGTAAAGAGCCCAGGGAGCGGGCACATGCAACAAGCCCCGCCCGCTGCTCCCAGCAGCCCTCAGTCAGAGCAAGAATCAGCCAGGTAAGTTGCAGAGCTCCCCCCGGCCTCCTGGTCCAAAACAGTCCAGTGGCACCTTTAAGACCAAGTTTTATTCAGGTACAAGCTCTCCCTCCTCTGCGAGGACAGATCTGCACGTTCCCCCCCCCCCAATAGCTAGCAATCCAAAACAGTCCAGTGGAGCCTGAGCGGTGGGGGTTGCCTTCCGACACACTTCCGGTGATGTCAGGGTGTGTGGCATATGCAAATAAGCTATGCTAATGAGTTATGCTAATGAGCTCCTGCACCTCTTTTTCTACGAAATGACCCCTGGTTAGTATTGCCTACTCAGACTGGCAGCCGCTCTCCAGGGACTCGGGCAGAGGTCTTTCCCGTCACCTACTATCTGACCTTTGGAACTACAGATGCCGGGGATCGAACCTGGGACCTTCTGCGTGCCAAGCAGACGCTCTGCCACTGAGCCGCAACCCCTCCCCTAGCAAATCAACAGAACCAAATGGGGGGGATGTTTTTTCCCCTCCAAATCCACAGTGCATCCGCCCATGGAACGCTGCCCACATTTTTGGGCATCCCTTTTTGAAAAGGGAACCCCCCCGAGTTGCAGAATGTGGAGAAACGGGAACACAGATGGTACACTTTGCTTGTGTGGAAAGGCGGGTGGGTGGGGTGGGTGAAAGGTCTAAAGGTGGGGAGAGACTTGCTGAGAGAGGGATACGATTTGGAATGGCGGATAAAACCACTGCTTTTCCTCTCCTGTAGCCAGAGAGCGTAAATGGAACTGACTTCCGACTTGGGAGAAGTCAATTTATGGGGCAGACAGAAAGAAGCGCCACAAGGCACAGCCAAGGTATGGATCCCAATTCCGAAGGCACGCCTCCATGAAAATGTCCCTGCTCACCACAGAGAGGGTTGGGCTAGAACCTTTTGCCCCGAGGGGCTTGCTTTTTTGTTTGCAAGGAAGTTTCTTTTACTGGTCAGAAGTAGTTCAGAGGCCTCCATGAAAATGTCCCTGCTCACCACAGAGAGGGTTGGGCTAGAACCTTTTGCCCCGAGGGGCTTGCTTTTTCGCTTGCAAGGAAGTTTCTTTTACTGGTCAGAAGTAGTTCAGAGGCCTCGATGAAAATGTCCCTGCTCACCACAGAGAGGGTTGGGCTAGAACTTTCTGCCCCGAGGGGCTTGCTTTTTTGCTTGCAAGGAAGTTTCTTTTACTGGTCAGAATTAGTTCAGAGGCATGCGTGCATCGGGATCTAAATAAGGAACCAAGACCCTAACTTTGGCTGGACCTATACGGGCAAAAGAATGATACGGTGAAGTCCTGGGGTGGTCGGGGTCATCCTATTGCCATAGATGTAGACAAAGTCTCTTATTTACCCCCTTGCTCTTCCTTATTTAGGTCATGCCCCCAGCCAGGATTTTGTGGCTTGTGGGGCAATTTTTTTCCGGTGGGGCTGAAGTTCTCAGTGCAGAAGGAGAAGCCCATTTAGCCAACAGAAAGCTGTTCCCAGGATAGATCTCTGAACTGCAAGCTGTCAACCACTTGAGATGACAGTCCTCAGCTGCTGCAAGTTAATCACTTCTGCCAGCCTCAGCACAAGTGCTGAGAACAAGCCGGCAGGTGGGGGTGATGACTTCAATAGGCAAGAAAGCTAACACTGGGGCAGAAAAACTCTCTTAAAGGAGACCAGTTTTTCGACACAGAGTTCGAAGGGATCCTAGAGGTCACCTACTCCAACCTCCTCGCTCGGTGTGGGGATTAGTCAACTCCCGCACCCCACTCTGCTTCAAGGAGTACACACCTTTTAAAAAATGTTTTTAAAAGATTGAAAAAAAGCATTTACAGGAAAAATTCTTGTGGGGCTCTTCCTTTAAGAGATAGGGCAGAGCCCCCAAAAGCTCCACTATAGCTATGGGCCTGGTTTAGATATTCCTACCAGGGCTCTTTTTGTAGAAAAAGCCCAGCAGGAAATCATTAGCATAATAGGCCACACCCAACAGCAGAAGCTCATTAGCATATTAGGCCACACCCCTGACAACACAGCTCATTGGCACATTAGGCCGCGCCCCCATGTTACCGGAAGTGTGGTTATCCAGCCACACCCACCTTTTGCTTCTTATTCTGTTTACCTTGTTTGTTGTCAAAACCCAGGGCCTTTTTTGAAGCAGGGTCATTTTGGGGGGGAACGCAGGGGAACGCAGTTCCCCCGGGTGAGGTACG